ATTCCCGCGCGTCAGCGCAGCCTGCGAGACGTGCTGGGAAGTCCCCGGTCGGCGCCACCACGGCCTCATCGGTCGCGCCAGACTACCTGGTCGTTCTGCGCGCGAACCTGCGCGCGCTAGCGCGGCCGCAGCGATGCGCCAGTCAGCGCCGAACAGTCATCGCAATTGCCGCCGCATAGGTTCAGCAAACCATGTTGCGGGTGGGAAGGTGGGATGCTTGCGCGAGGAGCGGGGGTCTTCAAGTTCGGCCCGGCGACATGCACTACATTGATTATCCTTTATTCTCCTTTCTAAAAACAGAATAGGATCTACCCCCCCGGCGTTATCGGTCCCCCTTTCGGGTATGTAAATCATATATGATTCTGACCACATGTCCATCCTAAATATGAATTTGCACTATCCCCGGGGGGCCGGAATCCCCCCCCCCCTGAGGGCACCTGGTAAAAAACACTATGCGGTGACATTCGTTGCTCTAACATAACATTTTTTCACGAATCCCTTGCAAAAAACGGGACGAGGTGCGCACGCGCGCGTCGTCGCGCTTCAAAAACCTTTGGTGCCGGAGGCATTTCGCAATCGAGTTTCCAAAAAACATACAAAAACACAAGGTTTCGCAACACGGATTTGCTAAAAAAGCTTCCGCGCGAGCTCTTGCGAAATCTGAAGAAAACTTTAGGTTTTTCAGCATTTTCACAACATGCTATTAAACGGGCTTCGCGCGCGCGCACGTCGAAATCTGTCGAACGCCCTTACGCGTGTGCCGTCGCGAGAATCCTCTGCAAAAAATGAAACGAAGTGCAGACGCGCGCGTCGTCGCGCTCGTATGCCGAAATCCTTCAAAACCCATCGGCTTCGGAAGGATTTCAAAATCGTGTCCAAAAAACCTACAGAAACACCAGGTTTCGCAACACAGATGTTCAACAAAAGCGTGCGCGCGCGCTCTTGCGTCGTCGTCGTCGTCGTCGCCGTCCTCCCTCCTCCCGCGTCGTCGTCGTCGTCGTCGCCTACGTCGTCCTGTCTTTCCTCGTGTTCGTCGTCATCGTCCTCTTTGCCGTCGTGGTCGTTTCCGTCGTCGTTGTCGCCATGGTCGTCCTTCCTTCTCCTCCCTCGTCGTCGTCGTCCTCCGTCGTCGGCGTCTCGTTGTCGTCCCTCCTATTTCGTCGCCGTCGTCGTCGTCGTCGTTGTCGTCGTCGTCATCCCTCCTCCCTCGTCGTTGTCTTCGTCGGCGTCGCCTTCCTTCATCCTTCTTCGTCGTTCGCGTCGACGCCGTCCTCCCTCCTCCGGCGTCGTTGTCGTCGTTGTCGTCGTTGTCGCCGTCGTCGTCCTTCCTCCTCCCTCGTCGTCGCCTTCGTTGGCGTCGTCGTCGTCGTCTTCGTCGTCGTCGGCGTCGTTGTCGTCGTCGAAGTCGTCGGAGACGTCGTTGGTGTCGTCGTAGTCGTTGTCGTCGGCGTCGTCGTAGTCGGTCTTAAGAGGTTTTGCAAACCAAGTTGCGGGTGGGTGGGTGGGATGTTTGCGCGAGCAGTGGAGATGACGACTTCAAGTTCAGCAGAGAGGCTAAAAACAGAATAGGATCTACCCTCCCCCCCGGCGTTATCGCCCCCCCTTTCGGGTATGTGAATCACATATGCTTCTGACCACATGTCCACCCTAAATATGAATTTACACTATCCCCGGGGGGCCGGTATCCCCCCCTGAGGGCCCCTTGTAAAAAGCACTATGCGGTGTCTTTGTTTGTTCTAACATAACACTTGTTCTGTCGAACGCCCTTGCGCGTGTGCCGTCGCGAGAATCCTCTGCAAAAAACGAAACGAAGTGCAGACGCGCGCGTCGTCGCGCGCGTATGCCGAAATCCTTCAAAACCCATCGGTTTCGGGAGGATTTCAAAATCGTGTGTCCAAAAAACCTACAAAAACACAAGGTTTCGCAACACAGATGTTCAACAAAAGCGTGCGCGCGCGCTCTTGCGTCGTCGTCGTCGTCGTCCTCCCTCTTCCCTCGTCGTCGTCGTCGTCGTCGCCGTCGTCGTCTGTTCCTCGTCGTCGTCGTCTTGGCGTCGTCGTCGCTTCCGTCGTCGTTGTCGCCGTGGTCGTCTTTCTTCCTCCCTCGTCGTCTTTGTCGGCGTTTCGTCGTTGTCCCTCCTATTTCGTCGCCGTCGTCGTCGTCGTCGTCGTCTTCACTCCTCCCATGTCGTTATCCTCTTCCCTCGTCGTCGTCGTCATCCGTCGTCGGCGTCTCGTCGTCGTCCCTCCTATTTCGTCGCCGTCGTCGTCGTCTTCGTCGTCGTTGTCGTCGTCATCTTCCCTCCTCCCTCGTCGTTGTCGTCGTCGGCGTCGCCGTCCTTCCTCCTTCTTCGTCGTTCGCGTCGTCGCCGTCTTCCCTCATCCATCGTCGTTGTCGTCGTTGTCGCCGTCGTCGTCCTCCCTCCTCCCTCGTCGTCGTCTTCGTTGGCGACGTCGTCGTCGTCTTCGTCGTCGTCGTCGGCGTCGGCGTCGTCGTCGTCTTCGTCGGCGTCGACGTCAGCGGTGTCGTCATAGTCGGTGTCGGCGGCGCCGTCGTCGTCGTTGTCGCTGTCGTCGTCGGCGTCGGTGTCGGGGCCAAGTGCCATGTGGTACCTACCGTCACGGTCTATAAGCAGTCTTGCGACCAAGTTGCGGGTGGGTGGGTGGGATGTTTGCGCGAGCAGTGGAGGTGGCCAGGCGCGGTGCAGGGTAGTCAGTTAACCAAGTTGCGGGTGGGAGGGTGGGATGTTTGCGCGAGCAGTGGAGAGGACAGCTTCAAGTTGAGCAAGTGATTGGTTGCACCACATAGATTGCACAACGTAGGTTGCAAAACTTAGATGGCACTACATGCGTTGCACCAGAGACTGCTCCACATATACAGTGGGCGCCAGTCCACAAGAGATCTTCCACAAGAAACCCAACCCTGGGACCCCAGGACGTCCATCGATTTTTGGCGTGGGAACGCCACGCCTTCCACAGCAAAACCATCGAACACACAAGAAACCCAGGGCACCCTGAAGGCAAGCAGGGTGTTTCTCGGCACGGGCCTCCACTGTATTGCACACCATGCATAGCTAGAAGCACAATGCTTGGGGTCCACGCTGGCTAGCATGGTGTCCCCGCTGCATCGTGGACCCCATTTTCGGATCGGCGCTTTGCTCCCGTCGCTGGGAATGGCGCTCTCGCCCCAGCGAGGGCCGCCTCTCTGGATCCCACAGGCTCCGCAGGTCTCCACTGGCCCTCCTGCGCTTGGATTTCCCTCCACTCCGTTTCCTGCTGCTGCTGTTCGTCCTCGGCCTCCTCCTGCCAAGGTGACGTTGGCTCCTCCTCCTCCTCCTCCTCCTCCTCTTCTTCCTGTGCGCAGCTCCGTTTTATCGATCGCGCAGAACACTTAGGGGTCTTTTTGAGGGTTCCAGGTCGGCTATGACACGCGTCCACGGGTACAGATAACAACAGCGCAGTGGAAGGGATGGGCAGAAGAGACAGTATGTCAGATATGGCGCGAGCGCGCATACATTCCCACTCATCCCTCCTCCGCCAAACTCGTCCTCCTCCTCCTCCTCCTCCTCCTCCTCTTCCTCCCTTCTCTAAACTACCCTGCCCCGGCTGGCGTTGAAGTGCGGCGTGAGCAGGGCCTTTTTGATGCCGTGGAAGTTGGCGGCGATCTGTCGGGAGCAGCAGAAGGAGGAGGAGGGAGGCCGAGGCGGGGTGGCAGGAGGACGAGGACGACCACAAGGACGCGGACACCAGTGAGGTTGAGAGCCAGGGGTAGGAGGAGGAGGAGGAGGAGGAGGAGGAGGAGGGGGAGGAGGAGGAGGAGGAGGAGGAGGAGGAGGAGAGGAGAAGGAGGAGGGGGCAGGAGGAGGAGGAGGAGGAAGCGAGTAAGCGGCACGGCGGATTGGCGCGCGCCGCTGGCGGCCTCGCTGGCAGGTGGAGCCACCGCGCGCCGCTCCACCCTGACATCCTTCGGTATGAGCTGTTCAATCCGCTGCATCAAAAGTCCCGACACCTTCCCAGGGGGGTAATTTTGCGCCCCGGATCCTTGATAGACGGTCCCCAGGCCCAGTGACGGGCCGTGGCGCCCGAAATCGCGGAAACGCACCCGGACTGAAAAAAACATGTCCTCCGAGATCTGGGTCCTCCTCCTCTTCCTCCTCCTCCTCCTCCTCCTCCTCCTCCTCCTCCTCCTCCTCCTCCTCCTCCTCCTCCTCCTCCCCCGTTTCTCCTCCGCGGGTGCCCACCTCGGCGCAGGGCCCGCCCGCCGCGCGCCCAGGGCCCTACGCGGCGCTGGCCACCGGGAGCTCCAGGTCCACCGCCAGCGGCCAGTGGTCGGAGGGCCACGCGGGCCCCACGAGGGACCGGAGCGGGAGCGTCGCGCCCAGCTGCGAGGGCGCCCGGGGGGGCAGAGGGAGCACACGCCTGCCCCCAGGAGGAGGAGCACCAGCAGGGAGGGGGAGAGGAGGGGGAGAGGAGGGGGAGGAGGGGGAGGGGGAGGAGGGGGAGGAGAGGGAGGAGGAGGAGGAGGAGGAGGAGGAGGAGGAGGAGGAGGAGGAGAAAAGAGGTAAGATGATGAAGTTCAAGAGTGTCTAACGATGGCCCCGTTTAAAAAAGTTAGCTGCCCTCAATGTATGGAAGTGTTGTGCACACATGCAAAAAGTGCTGGTCGTAAAATTCGTGGGGGGACGAACGAGAGCCCCATTTCAAAAAAGGAGCCGCCCTCCATCTGTGTAACTGTTGCACGATTTGGAACCTGGGTCATAAAGTTGCGGAAGTCTTAAGCGAGAACAGCGATCTCACCAGCCTCCAGATTGTAATTGTTGAAAGTTTTTACAAAGAGATGCGCATCACCAGGGCGGGAGCCGCATTTTGAAAATCACTGACCCTCCCATATACATGTTAGAAACGTTAAGATCAAATGCGCGCAGTGCTAAGGCAAGAGCCGCCCTGTGAGTACGTACGGGCCTCTAGCATCGTAAAGGCTAGAAAGTACTAAGACGAATGTGCGCGAAGCTGAAGGCAAAAGGCACACTTTGAAAACCACAGGCCTGCCAACCCCATAACTTTAGGTGGGGCACGTCCTCCTACAGGCTGAGTTTGGTCTAAAACTCAAAAATAATCTCAGGGGAGGGAGAGAGAGAGAGAGAGACACAAAAAAAACGCATGGTGGTGCGACAGAGGAGGGCGGGGAGCCGCTCACCAGGAAGAGGGGCGGAGGAGGAGCTGGAGCACGAGTGGGAGCGGGAGGAGGACCAGGAGGGGGAAGGGGATGGAGGGGGAAGGGGAGGGACGGGGATATAGAGAGGAGGGGAAGGGACAGAGGGAAGGCGAGAGAGAGAGGAGGGGAGGGAGGAGAGGGGATAGAGGAAGGGGGGATGGAGAGGAGGGGAGGGGAGGCAGAAGAGGGGAAGGAGGGAGGGAAGAAGGAAGGAGCGGGAAGGGGGATATTTGGGGGGGAGGCGGACGGGGTTGGGGCGTGGCCCGCGTGCGGAGTGTGCCCCCCCGGGGCAGCAGAGAGGGGGCGCAGGCGCCGGCGACGGGCCGCGTGGAGCGCCGGGCTCAGCCACACGTAGTCTATCCAGCCGTGGAACCCGAGCTTGGAGTTCGTCAGCAGGCCCTCGGCGTCGCCGTCGCCGTCGTCATCGTCGTCGTCGTCGGTCGTCGTCGTCGTCAGTCGTCATCGTCGGTCGTCGTCGTCGGCGGCGGCGTCGGTCGTCGTCGTCATCATCGTCGTCGTCATCTTCGTCGTCGTCGTCATCGGCGTCGTCCCGAGACCACCAACGTCGTGAGGTGTGGAATCTCTGCGTCGTTCCTCGGTTTCAGCCTCCTGGGGTCGCTTTCGAGCGCATGAGAACATCATACACGGATCGGGGGCGAGACGTCTAGCGCCCACAGATTGAAAACATGAACCCATCGGAGGTCTTGGTCTCCTCCTCCTCCCCTCCTTCTCTCCTCCTGTTTCTCCTCCTCCTCCAGATCTTCAAAAGAGACCCCCGTCGCTTCAGCTAGATCCGCCTCGAAGTCCTTGTCGGGACGCGCTCCAGGAACGCTCTGGGGGAAACGTTGAGGTCGTTCTGCTTTGGGAATATTCGTCATCGTCCGCATCGACGATGACGATGACGATGACGATGACGATGACGATGACGATGACGATGCCGTGACGACGGCAACGACGACGAGGACGACGACGACGACGACGACACCAACATCGACATCGATGTCGACACAACGACGATGACGATGAGGATGATGACGAGGATGGCGTGGACGAGGAGGACGACGACGCCGCCGCCGCCGACGACGCTGACGATGACAGCATCGCCATCGTCGTCGGCGTCGGACTTCGTCGGCAGCCCCTCCGCCTGCGCCCCGCCGCTCTCCAGGTCCTTGTGCGGGCAATACCGCTATCCATATCCAGTGCGTGTTGGACTTTCTCGGAAGGGGCGCCGCAAGGCCGAGGCGCACTGGGCATGGGCACAAATCGAGCCTTTGGGGGCCAGATTTTGATCCGCATCCAGTGCGCCTCCTGTTTCTGGGGGAGGGAGCCCGGAACTTCAGGACGCACTGAATGTGGATACAGACTTAGGTCGGGCATGTCCCCTTATAGGCCGATTTTGGACGAAATATTAAAAATATTCCAAAACAATTAAATTATCCTGGCGAAGGACCCAACCCAACCATACGCAAGTGTGAGGGGGGCGCGGGGCAGGTGGGACGAAGCAAGGGGAATTTTCAATGGGGCCACGAACTGTGTGAGGGGGGGCGCCAAAATGGGGCGGGGCCGCCATGCGAACCCTGCCTATGGGGCCACGAACCATGTGAGGGGTGCGCCAAAATGGGGCGGGGCCGCCATGCGAACCCTGCCACTGTATGGGGCCACGAACCGTGTGAAGGGTGCGCCAAAATGGGGCCGGGCCGCCATGCGAACCCTGACACTGGGACCTTCGGTGAAGCTCCCTATGGGGCCACGAACCGTGTGAGAGGTGCGCCAAAATGGGGTGGGGCCGCCATGGGAACCCTGCCACCGGGGCGTTCGGTGGAGCTCCCTATGGGGCCACGCACCGTGTGAGGGGTGCACCAAAATGGCGCGGGGCCGCCATGCGAACCCTGCCACCGGGGCGTTCGGTGGAGCTCCTTATGGGGCCACGAACCGTGTGAGGGGTGCGCCAAATGGGGCGGGGCCGCCATGCGAACCCTGCCACTGGGGCCTTCGGTGGAGCTCCCTGTGGGGCCACGAACCATGTGAGGGGTGCGCCACAATGGGGTGTGGCCGCCATGCGAACCCTGCCACTGGGGCCTTCGGTGGAGCTCCCTATGGGGCCACGAACCGTGTGAGGGGTGCGCCAAAACGCGGGGCCGCCATGCGAACCCTGCCACTGGGGCTTTCGGTGGAGCTCCCTATGGGGCCACGAAGCGCTGTACTGGGTGGGTGAAACGCAAGGAGGAGGGAAGAGGAGGGGGAGGAGGGCGGGAAGGAAGGAACGCGGGGCATCGTCTCTTCAAAACGAGGACGGTTAGGAAAAACAATCAAGAATGCTTAAGAATCGTCCCCAGACTTGTTTGCGAATATCTTTGACTATTCCTCCTGCAGAGGGACACGGGCCCGACTTACAGATTGGCATTGCCCGCACCTCGTACGCCGACCTCAGGGCCCACGGCTGGCCCAGGCGCCCGCCGCCGTCGCGCAGGAACGCCCCGTGGCCGGCGCCGGCCCCACCGCGGCCTCCGTGCAGAGGGGAGAGGAGGATCCCCGGGCGGTGCTGTTTCGGCCCTTGGAGGCTCTTGCAGGCTCACTCCTAAGTCAGGTCGAGCAGGTCCTCCTACAGGGGGATTTGGGACGTAAAGGTGTAGAGGTAGTCCAGGAATACGCAAAACGTATTCAAATATAGTCTTAAAAGTCGTCCCCAGGCTATTTTTTACAATGTTTGAAAATTCCTCCTGTAGAGGGACAGGCCCGACTTAAATCTTAGGAGCTGGCCCTGTCTTGAGTATCGCCTAGCCGATCCCTATCCCCACTGGCGTGGCCTGGGCCCCACTGGCCGGTTTACCCCCCTAGATGTGGATATGGGCTGTTCCCTTCGGGTTTCGAGGGGTATATCCCAAAGTAGGCTGGCGTGGTGGAGCTGAGACACCATGGCCCGATATGGAATGGGGATAAGTCTAAATATACAGCTGTCTGCCGCCGTGGGCCGTTCCCCGTCGGTGGTCCACGGCCGTTCCGGCTCTCCTAGCAGTGCTTGCATTCGGGTGTGTGCTCGCTTCTTGAGGGGCTGGCCTGAGGTCGGGCATGTCCCCATACAGGCATAGTTTGGAGACAAGAAGCACAATACTCGAAAAATGCTTCAAAATAGTCAGAAAAATAATAGAAAAATCGTCCCCATCTTATTTTTCCGATTTTTGAACATTCCTCCCGTAGAGGGACAGGCCCGACTTGGGGCTGGCGCTGCCTGTCGCAGCTGAGCGTTCCCCGTCGGTGACGCTCGGCCGTTCCCGCTCGGTGCTCCAAAGGCTCCCAGCTTCGCGCTTCGCGCTGCGCGAAGCGCGAAGTGCGAACAACTTCGCGCTCTCGCGCCGCCTCCCAGGCGAGAAGAGGAGGAAGAGGAGGAATCGGAGCCGAACTCGGAGCCGAACCGCGAAGCGCGAAGCGCGAATAACTTCGCGCCCTCGAGGGCGCCCTTGTGCTCTGTGGCCGGTGCCCCGCGCCTGCTGTGTGCGTCGGAGCCCGAGGGCCGCTCCCGCTGCCAGGTCCAACGGAGCGGTGCCGAGCGACAGCTTCGGCGGCGACGACGACCGGCTACACGCAAGAGCGACCCTGGGTAAAGTGACCTTTGGCGCGCGGTTTCTAAGGTGCCGCGGGGAGGCCAAACCTGGGCGCGCAAGCCCCTGCTACCGCTTCGTGTTCAGCCATCTGGGGGCCCATCTGTGCCCGCACCAAAGGTCACTCCGGCGAAAGGTCACTCTTACGTCTAGTCGAGACGATAGGGGCGAGTAGCCCAGGGGCGGGAATTACACGCGTTCGCCCGGGAACCTTTTCGAAGGCATAGATCATCGGCGCACCTGAATCATACATGTGTTGCTCTCCCCTGGGCTATTCGCCCCCGGTCGTCGCCTCTGACAGCTTTTGAGCAGGGACCGACCGTCCCGGCATTCCTATAGGCCTACCACGACATGGTCAATGTTCTTAGAACATTTAAGACAAGACTGCCCCACAGCCAGAAATTACGCGCAGACCACGCGAGGTTCTCTGAACTCTCTTCGCTGCGCCGCTAGGCTTTAGTCGGGCGTGCCCCCCTACAGTGAGTTTTGGACGAAAAATAAGAAACACTCAAAAAATGTCGAAAAATACTCCGAACATAATCCCCAGACCATTTTTTACTATGTTTGAATATTCCTCCTCCTGCAGAGGGACGAGCCCGACTTAACGTGAGGCAAGCCGGGACGCTTTGCCGCTGCTCGAAGCTGCCGCCAAAGCTCCGTCCGCGTCACGGGCACCCACAGGGGGAGGCACTGGCCCAGTCGACCTGGAGTCAGCCTCCCCTCGCCCACAGGTCGGCGAGAGGCCCGTGGCCGATGGCGCGCATGCGCAGGGTCCTGGGCGGGGCGGGCTGCCAGGACCCCTGTCAGCGATCGCGGGGCGACTGGGGGTCGAGGCGCCCCCCCCAGAGCCTATCCTTAGGTCGGACGTGTCCCCCTACAGACAGATTTGAAGGAACAAACGAACATGTGCAAATCCGCCGACCCCTTGGGGTTCATCGGCGTGCGAGATGCTCCCCCCCCCAAACCCCTCCCCCGGAAGCCCGGTCCGGTCGATTTGATTTGGAGGGGGGGGGTCCGGCCGGATCCGCGGGGGGGGTCATCCGCTCCTAGAAATCCTGCAGGGACTCCTCCGCGGCCTCGAAATGGTCCCAAGACGCCACTCGACGGCCCAAAATGACCTCCACGTAGATTTTGGTATACCCCCAAGATGCCCGGGCTCAAGACAGCCCACGATGCCTCCAAAGATGCTCCAAGAGGCCTCGAAGAGGCACCCCAAGAAGGCCTCGAAGAAGCCAACATCATCAATTTCCCATCGCAAAACGTACATTTTTAGCACGCACGACTTTTCGGCCTCCACGGCGGTGAAGCCAATCCAAGAGGCTCCCAAAACCACCCCGTCCGAAGAGGCCCCCAGGAAGCGCCCGAGACGGCCCAAGCGGGCGCCAAGACAACCCAAGAGGCTCCCAAAACGGCCGGAAAGGGCCCCAAGACGGCTCCCAGAGAGGCCCAAGCGGGGCAGCCCGCACCAACAATCCGAGCCTTCCGCTCCCAGACGGCTCCAAGGCACCCCCAGAGGCGCCCGAAAAGGGCCCCAGAGGCTCCCAAGACGCTCCCAAAAAGCCCCCAAGAGGCCCACAAGAGGCCCCAAGAGGCCCCAAAACGGCCCTCAGGAGGCTTCGAGACTACCGTCAAGAGGCCTGCGAAAAGTTTCCCCAAGGTGATCCAAGCGAACGCCGCACAAGCCTCATACCCACAACCCGGGCCCAGCGGCCAGACTCCTCGCAACTTCCGTTGCTTGCCGCCGTGCTCGTCGCTTGTCTCCGCAGGGCGTTTCGGCGGTTCTCTCCGCAGCGCCCGTCCCGCCTTATAGCACTTCCCGCAAACCACCGGATTGCCCCCTTGGGCCGACGTGGAGGCCCCAAGAAGGCCTCCAGAAAACACCAAGAGCCAACTAAAAGGACCCGAAAAGGCGACCTAGAAGGCCTCACAAATAAAACACGGCAACCGCGAGTTCCCCAAAGGGTCGGCGGTGTGGCGCAAGCGTGAGAATAATGATTTAAAGATATTCGAAGGAAATCAAAAAAACTTCTCCGTTCTATTTGTTCATATGTTTGCACATTCCTCCTGTAGAGGGACAGGCCCGACTTGAGCCTGTTCCCCCGAACGTTGCCCACGACGGCCCGCGCAAGCGTGGGCCTGGCAGCGGGGGCAGGGGGGCCAGCTGGTTTGTTCTTCGGCAGTGCCCACAGGGGTGCAGAGGGCCAGGGGGGAAGGCTTCTTGGAAGGAGGCCGCTTCTTGGAAGGCGCCGGCCCGTCTACAGAGAAGGCCCGCGCCTTCTGAGAAGCAGGCGTGCTCCTCGGGAGCATCCCCCCCTCCCCCTACGTATCGCCTCTGCGCGTGGCTGATTTGCTCTCCCCCGAGCCTCCTGGCGCCTCCAAAGGGCCCAGCAGGTCGACTACGGCCTGGATCTGGCGCTGGGCGCGCGCGGAGGCGCTCTCGGTGCTCAGCGAGAACCAGTAGACCTGCTGGCATGCGGTGCACTCGTGCAGCTGCTCGTCGGCGGGCGCCCCGGGCGGGATCTCGCCGCTGGCGGGCCCGCCGGCCCCGACGGGCCGGACCTGGAGGGAAAGGCAGCGAGGACTGTGACCCAGACTGCCTGCGAAAGCCGATCTTGGTCAGCGTCCATGTTGGTCCTCGTCAATCCCTGGAACGTCCTCGCGAACCGGCGACGGCAGGCATGGACCATGACCAAGATCGGCGTCGACGAGATCCCGCAGCGTCTTGGTCAAGGCCGGCGTGCTCCTTCCCTCGAAGACCTCCCCGTTGCACTTGACGCACCGCCCGAAGAAGCGCCCCGGGCGCACGTCCACCGAGAGCCGCCGCAGCATCTCCGCCGTGCTCGCCTCGCTGGTGCGCACGTCGAGGAAGTACGCCGGCGGGCAGTCGCTGCGCTCCAGCAGCTTCTTGCAGGCGGAAACCAGCAGGCGCCCCTCCCGGGCCGCGCGCGCGAACAGCGGCACGCTGGCGCGGGCCGGGAAGCCGCCGTCCTTGGCGCCCAGCGGGCGCGCCTCGCGCTCCTGCGAGGGGAGGGAAGCAGAAGGAGGTGCCGATGCCGCTGCTCCCTATGGACCTCTCCCGGGTGCGTTCCGACAACGGGGAGGAGGAGGAGGAGGAGGAGGAGGAGGAGGAGGAGGAGGAGGAAAGAAAGTATAGGGCTGGAGGCTAAGATTTATTTTGGTCAGGAGGCGGCTGGGAGGTAGGTGTATTAGGCGGAAAAGCAGGAGAGGAGTGGGAAAGCAAAAGCACATTGGGGAGGAAAGAATAGGAGGAGGTAGGGAGAGCCTGGTGGAGGGTTATAGGAGGGTGGATAGGAAGGAGGAAGGTGGAAGGTGGTAGTGGTTTTAAAGGAGGGAGGACGAGGAGGGAGGAAGAGGATAGGAAGGAGGAACGATGGAGGAGGAGGCAGAACGCGGTAGCGGGGGAGGGTGGTGTAGAGGGGAGGGTGAGAGGTCTTTATCTTTTTTAAGGAGGAAGTGGTTAGGAGCTGTAGGAGGAGAGGATGGAATTAAAAAAAATAAATATAAAAGGGGGGGGGAAGTAGTAACAAGGAAAGGTCGGGCCGGAGGAGGTAGTCGGAGGATCGATTTGGAGATAAGGCTTAATTGTAGTGTAAGAGGAAGTAGGAGGAGATAAGTGAACAAGGAGTTGAAGCGGATTTTGGGGATGAGGCGTGCTGGGAGGAGGAGGGGGAGGGGGGAGGAGGAGGAGGGGTATGAGGTAGGAGGAGTGCGGAGGAGGAGGAGGGAGTGAGGGGAAGGAGGGGAGGCAGTCGAGGAGGAGGAGCGAGGAGGAGGAGCTATGTGGGGAGGAGATATGTGTTGGGTGTAGGTTGGGCGGAGGACGAGGAGGCGGAAGAGGTATTGGAGGAAAGAGAAGCAGCAGAGCTCCGAGACGAGTCCCGCCGTGGCGAGGAGGGCCGTCGGGGACAGTGACGTTGGCAGATGTCTTCCTCCTCTGAGCTCCACAGACGGGCAAGGAGCGGCACGAGCACAACTTCAGTTCGGGCGTGCCCTCCTACAGGCAGATTTGGAGCGAAAATTGTCAAAAGAGTCCAACATTAATCTCAAACATCTTCAACCATACGAAAGATGATCGTCCCCAGACTCGATTTTTCCATACTTTTGAAAGCGTTTCCGCTCCGCCGCGTTCCTGGCCGGATTCCCTGTCTACCGGCCTACTCGCCGCGATTCCTCTAGCTGCTGCCTTAGGCCTCCTCCATCATCAATTCCTCGCTCTCTTACGGCCTCCTGTTTTTCCTCCATCTCCCTCCTCCCTAGCCCTCCGTCCTTCCACCTCCTGCCCCGCTTCCTATCCTCATCCCCCTCTTTTTTCTCTCTCCTCCGCGCCTTCCTTCTCCTCCTGCTCCCCCTTCCAACCTTCCTCCTCATCCCTCTCCTCCGCCTCTCCTCTCCTCCTTCTCCTCCTTCTCCTCCTATCTCCTCCTCCATCCTCCTCCTTCCGCCTCCTCCTCTCCTCCTCCTCCTCTCTCTCCTCTCCTCCTCCTCCGCCTCTCTCCTCCTCCCCCTCAACCTCCTAATCCCCCTCCCCTCCTGTTCCTCCTCTCCTCCTTCCTCTCCTCTCCTCTCTCCTCCTCCTCCTCCTCTCCTCCTCCTCCTCCTCCCCCTCCCACCTCTCCTCCCCCTCTCGTCCTCCTCCTCCTCTCCTCCTTCTCCTCCTCCTCCTTCTCCGAGGAGCGGCCCGAAAACCAGAGCCCCTCCTGAGCCGGAAGACGGGGAAACCGAAAGGTACCGATACCGCTACAGGCGGCCGGTATCATGCGGATCGGACACCCATGCCGGAGCCCGTCCAGCGGGGCGCGGCCAACGAAAGTGGCCGAGGATGGACCGAGAAGGCAAGGACACAAGGGAACCCTCAGGAAGGTTGCCCATCCATATTATGCGGGTTGCTTGTACTCCCCGGACCTTTCGCGGGGAGCGTTCCGGCCAGAATCCAAACAGCCGTTTGGGCTAAGGTGGTCTGGCGAATTTCTTCTTTCCTCTTTAAGAAACCCTCCCCCCTTCGGGGAGAGGTGCCTTCCCCCTTCCATCCCTGAGGTTTTTGGGGGGGTCGCGATCGGTCAGGGCACACAAGATGGCCTAAGATGGCTCCAAGAGGGCCTCCGATGCTCGAAGGTTGCCTCCAAGGCGGCTCTGGGTAACCGAAGATGGTTCAATGTAGCTCCCCGCATGCCTCCAAGAGGCCCGATGAGGGCCACAAGACGGATCAAAGTGCTCTCGAAGCCCCCTTTATCAAGACTTCCCCAAGATGCCCAAACCCTTCAAACACCGAGAAGACATGAGTTGTGTCTTCTCGCCGTTTCGCTTCCGATGCACTTTCGAGGCCTCAAGATGGCCCAAAGATGGCCCAAGATAGGCCCCAGAGGGACCTACGAAGCCCCCACAACCGCACCAAGAGCGCCGAAGATCTGTCCAAGAGCGCCCCAGGAGGCGATGTTGGGGCTCTTGGGGGGGGGGCAGGAATCGGGCCCCCCTCCTTTTGATCGATAGCCTCCGAGATGGCCTAAGAGGCCCTCTAGGGCCCCCGAAAAGGGCCCCAAGACCCCCCAAAAGAGACCCAGGAGAACCCCGGGATCCCCCAGAAGAGTCCCGAGACGGCTCCAAGAGGCGATCTGTAGGGCTCTGTCTTGAGGCGGCGCACGCGGCGCAACAAGGAGGACACCCCCCGAGGGTCAAGGTCGTCGGTTTAAGGTCAAGGTTTGGGGCCTCGGTTTTCAAGGTTTAAGGTTTGAGGTCAGGGTCCAAGGTAAAAGGTTCAAGGTCACTTGCAAGGTCAAGCAAGGTCAGTAGTAGTTGTTCCAAGATGGCTCCAAAACGGCATCAAGAGGGCTCCAGGATGGCACCAAGACAGTCCGAGAAGCCCTCCAAGACGGCTCAGACAGCCTCGAACGGCCTCCAGCACAACCCTAAGACGCTTCCAAGACGTCCAAGACGCCCCCAAGAGAACCCGAGTTTGCCAAAAGATGTTTCGAAGATGGCCGATCGTCGCGACATTAATTATTGAGGCGCGATATTGATTAGGCGCGATATTGATTATAGGGGAGCAGCCTTGAGGCGGCCGCAGGAGGAGAGGACGACAATCATTCGGTACTTGTTTCAAGTTTCAAGTCGTTTTCATCTCGACGACCTCCGCATTGATCCAAGCACGCTTTGACTCCTCACGGTGGCCTGTGCCACCGTGCCGTCGAGGCGCACGCGTGGCCCCCTGGGCCGTGGCCCAACTCCCCCTAGGTCTGGCGATCGACCACCCAAAGTGAAACTTGAAACTTGAACCGATCCTCGCTTCCTGAAGACTGGCCGGACTGGTCCCAGATTTGGGCGTCTGGGCATCCACCTCTTTGGTCGGGCTCTCTTCATCTCTGCCAACCCATCCAAGCTGCTTCCACACCAAGGGGTCACTTATATCGAGCTTGCTAAAGTTGATCCATCCATTTTGCTTCCAGGCCTCGGGGCCCTCGTTCTCGTAGCCCTGCCAACCATGTTTTTTGTTGTCCCATCCTTGGATCAGTGGGATCGGCTTTGCTTTTCCAGCCCAGGGGCTTCCACGCCTCGGGGTTGTCCATGTCGAGCTTGTCGTAGTCGATGCACTTAGACGGGTCTTTCGTCCACTTGCGCTCGCGCTGGCCCGCATTATTCTGGCTGCTGTCGCCGTCGCCCACGAATGACCTGACATGCTGTTTCTGCATCGGCATGATCTGCGGCAAGTAGCCTCCCATGTTGCAGATGGCCTGACCTCAAGTAGTTTGGTAATCGACTGCCCGACGCACTTGCTCTTGGCTTGCAGGGGCCTGATCATCTCGCACTTGGCCATCCTCTCGTCGGTGGTGGACGTGCGACCCTGCTCCACGATCACGAGGTGCATGTCCAGCTTTTCTTTCATCGCGGTGAGCTCCTCAACCTTGATGTCCGTCACCGCCCGTGACGCTTCCATGTGGCAGGCCGTGATCTGCAATTGCGTCATGGCTTTCTTCATGTAGATCGCGTATTCCCCGATGCCCCCATGTGGCCCTTCGCTCGCTGAACTCTGGGACCACGACGCCTGCTTGATCATGGGCGCTGTGCCCTACTGCTGCGCGTCTCTGGGCGGGGGCCCAGGGGCAGCCGCAGAGATGGCTGTGCGCTGGGCACTGCGCAGGCCGCGCGAGTAGTTGCTGTAGCCTGAAGCCTGTAGCTTATTACTTACTCGAGCCAGGCAGCCGCTCAATGTACTCCAGGTTCAGCGTTGTCGTGTTCTCTGCGTCTCTCGATCGCACCGTCGTTTGTCGACGCAGTTGGCGCAGGAGTCGGGGAGCGCCCCAGGGGCTCCGGGGGCTGCAGAGTCCTATGGGCGAGGAGGAGGTGGAGGAGGAGGAGGAGGGGGGGGGGTCCCGAGTAAACCCGGGAGGCACCAGCGATGCTGCAATGCCCCCTCACGCCGCGAGCCCCCATCACCCCTCGCAACGCGCCCTTGCTGGCAGCATTCCTCGACGACGACGGCGACGACGAGACTCGAGGCTAGGACCGGGGATGGGGGCACAGGAGACTAGGATAATCTCCCCACCGCCTCGGAAAGCGGCTTGGGGAGAGGGCGGAGAGCGGGGGGGCGCGGGAGCAGGAGCGACGGAACGACATCACCTCATTACTCATTATCTCATTACCTCATTACCTCATTCTTCACTATTCACACTTCAGTGTGTATTATTCATTACTCATGTCTTCCCTCTCCCCATCTCCCCTCCTTCTCCTTCTCCTCCTCCCCCCCCTCCTCCTTGCTCAGGCCTGCTTAGGGCCCGGGGCTGGGGGCGTAGGTCGCGGCGCAGGGCTGGGGCCTGGCGGCTAAGGGCTCAAGGCTTAAAGTGTGAAGGGCTTAGGGCTTAGGGCTTAGTTCTTAAGGCTCGGAGCTGAGGGCTCAGGGCATAGGGCGCAAGGCTCAAGGCCCAAGGCTCGGGCTGAAGTCTCAGGGCTGAAAGGCCAGGGGCCACGGCTCAGATTCAATGGCTCAGGGCGCAAAAACTCAAGGCTTAGGGCCCAGGGCTCAGGTCCCAGGGCCCAGGGTTCAGAGTTCAGAGCCTGAAGCTGAGGGCTCAGGGCGTGGGTTTCGGGGCCTATGGGCTCGAGGCTCAAGGCTAAGCGCTACTGGCTTAGAGGTCAAGGGATTAAGGCTTCGGGCTTAGGGTTTCGAGCTCAGGGCTGCGTGCTCAAGGCACAGGGGTTAGGGCTTAGGGCGTAAGGCTTAAGGCTCAGGGCTCAGGGCTGAGGGTTGAGGGTAGACGTTGAGGGCTTAAACTTTTTGGCTCCGGGCTGAAGGCTTAGGGCTTAGGGGTTGCGGACTAGTTCTTAGGGCTCCGAGCCCAGGGCCGGAGGTTCAAGACTCATGGCGCGGGGCCCAGGGCCTGGGGCCGAGGGCCGAGGGCCGAAGGCCCGAGGCATCGGGCTTAGGGCTTAGGGCCCAAGGCGCAGGGCACAAGGCTCAGGGCTGCTTAGGACCTAGGGGCCGAAGGCTAAGGGCTGAGGGCTAAGGGCTTAGGGCTTAGTTCTTAAGGCTCGGAGCTGAGGGCTCAGGGCGTAGGGCGCAAGGCTCAGGGCTCATGGCCCAGGGGCTCAAGGCTCAGGGCCGAAGGGCCGCGGCCCAGAACTCATGGTTCAGGGCGCAAGGCCTACGGCTTAGGGCTCAAGGCTCAGGGCGGAGGGCCCAGGCCCCAGGCAGCAAATTCTCCGGCCCAACGGGCCAGGGCGTGCTAAGATCTCCGGTAACTGGTTAACAGTATTAACCGTATTTCTAGTTCGCGCGCGCGGGGCGGCCCCTGGGGGTCCCCCGGCGAAAAGCACCCCGACCAACGCCCGGTCGCCGCCCGGTCGCCGCCCGACCGCCGCCCGACCGCCGCCCGGCCGCCGCCCGACCAAGTCTACTCAGAGATGGTTGTCCTTCTGGGCGCGGCCTCTCAGGCTCCCCAGAGCGCGCTCAGAGTGCCCCAAGAGGCCCCCAAGACTGCCCAAGAGGCCCCCGAGACGCCCAAAGAGCGCTCGAAGACGCCGAAGATGACCCCAAGACGGCCCAAAAGGCCCCCAAGACAGCCCAAGAGGCCTCCAAGACGCCCCAAGAGCCTTCCAAGAGGCCTCCGAAGAGAGCCCCAAGAGGCCAAAATCGTTGATTTTCATTTGTTTTTTCTATGTTTTTTGCGCTCTGGCTTTTTCGGCTTCCGGACGCTCCAAGACGGCCCAAGAGGCCCCCAAGACCGCGCCAAGACGGCCCACGAAGCTCCCAAGACGGCGCCGAAACGACCCAAGAGAGCCCTCAAGACGGCCCAAGCGCCGCCCAAGACGGACCAAGAGACCCCAAGACGGGCCCAAGAGGGACTCAGGAGGGCCCTCCGTCCCAGAAGGCGCCCAGGAGGTCCCAAAGAGGCCCCGAGAGGCCTCCAAGAGGCCCCAAGATGTCGCCAAGAGGCCCCAGGAGACTCCCAGGAGGCCCAAAAGAAGCCCCAGAAGGCTTCAAACATGTCTCCCAGGCGCCCCCGAACGGCCTCTCAACAGACCCCAAGAGGCCCCCCAAAGAAGCATCTTGACGACGACTCTATTTCGCCCCATCGAGAGACGACCCCCAGGGAACTGCTTCACCATCAAAACTCCCCACGCAACGCGTCCGAACGACACCCGCCCCCAAGAGCGCAACATGGGCAACGAACACACAGACAAAAACCAGCGATGCCATATCACGGGCCGGCGGAATGAGCGAAGCGATTCAATAATGTCGGGCCGCTGCAACCCCGCGACTCTCGAACTCCGAGATGGGGGGCGGGCGCCGCCGCCGCGCGCCCGCGCCTTGTCGCGTCGCGATGCCTCTGCCGCGGGACATTGGGAGTGGCCCGGGGGTGTGCACCCCATGCCGCACTCCCCCGGGCGCCGCGCGCAGCTTTGCGAAGAGACATTCGCTTTGCAAAATGGGCCAGCGGCGCGCCATTCTGGTTCGCACTTGTGCGACCGACCGTGGGCTGGGCGCGAGCCCGGGGTGCAATTTTCTGACCCTGGCCTGGCTGGCGTGGTGCATCAGGGGGACCTTGCCACACTGGGCAAGGTGGGGTCTTCCGGAAGTCTCCCGGGGCCTCCCGGGGCTTTCCGGGCCCAAGGTGGGGGGGGGTCGACCATGGTAAGGTGGGGTCTTCCGGAAGTCTTCCGGGGCCTTCCGGGGCTTTCCGGGCCCACGGTGGGGGGTCTCTGGGCAAGGTCGCAAATTCCGGGTCCAAGGTCGACCTTTTCGGCGACCAAGGTCGACGCTCGCGGCGGCCAAGGTCGACGTTTGTGGCGCCTGAAGTCGTTCGAATGGACCGCGAAGCGAGCGGCGCGGCTCGGCCGCGCGCCGAGAGAAGACGCTCGACGAGATGGCAACGCGCCAGATTCTTTCAAACAGTGCGGCCGACGTGCAGTTCCACCAAATTCTCGAGCCAGTTGACACAAGATTGCGTCGCATGCGCGGTCACATTTCTGCGCGCGCTTGCACCTCGGGCCCGGGGCCTAGGGCCTCAGCGCCCAGGGCTTGCGGCTCAAGGCGCAGGGCCCAGGGCTCAAGGGTCGGGGCTCAGGGCTCAGTTCGCATGGCTCAGGGCTCAGAGCATAAAGCTGAGGGCCCAGGGTTTGGGGCCCAGGACCCAGGGGCTTAGGGCCCAAGGCCAAGGGTTAATGGCTTAAGTGGTTAAGGCCTACGGCTTAGAGCTTAGAGCCAACTTGGCGATCCGACTTGTTCCTTGTTGGACGCGCCCCACCCGCCAATGTCCCATGACATATAGAATTCAAACGCGTCGACGATGATGACGGTGCTGATGGCGCTGGTGATGCTGATGGTGATATTGCTGACGATGATGATGGTGCTGGCGATGGTGATGGACGCGCCTCCAAGCTTGGATGGGCCTCGTGCTCGTTTTGGCCAGCGCTTGGGAGCTCCCGGGGAACGCGCAGGCGCATGGGGGCGCCTGGTGCGCGCGAGGACGCCTGGCGCGCCAGAATCATGCGCAATAAATACCTCGCGGCGCACATCACCTCACGCACCCCCCGCCCGCCCTTGCAAAACACACGGTTTCGTGCGCGAGCGGTCAGCATCCCCAGCGCAAACTACCGCGCGGCGCGCGCACAAGCGCCCTCAAGCGCCCCGAGCTCCCAGGCGTCCTACAGCGCTGCCTGGCGCCCCCAGGCGCTGCTCAGGCGCTGCTCAAGGGCCGACAGGCGCTGCGAGGCGCTTCCAGCCGCCCCTAGACGCACCAAGTGCCTTTAAGCGCTCCCCAGAAGCTCCAAGCGCTGCCTTGCGCGGGCCCGAGCCGAGGTTTTTTTCCAAGCGCCCCCTAGGCGCTCTTGGGCGCTGCCAGGCGCCCCCGGGCGCTTCCTGGCAGCCCCGAGCCACAAGCGTTCCCAGGCGCCCCCAGGCGCTCTCAGGCGCTGCCCGGGCGCTGCCCAGGCATGGGCCAGGCGCTGGCAGGCGCTCCCAGGCGTGCCCAGACGCACCAGGCGTTCCTGAGCGCTCCTCAGGAGTTCCCAAGCGCTGCCTTGCGCGAGGCCATGACGCGTCCAAGCGCTCTCCAGGCGCTCCTGGGTCTCGGGCGTTGCCAGGCGTCTCCAGGCGCCTCCAAGCGGCCCCCGGCGCTCCCAGGCGCCCCCAGGCGCTCCTTGGTCTTCGGCGCCGCAGGCGCTGCCCAGGCGCTGCTTGGCGCCCCCAGGCGCTAACCAGACTCTGCCCGGGCACTGGCTGGCGGCGGGTCCTTGGGGGTCATTGGGTGCTTCTTCGGGGGCGGGCCCTTCGACGTTGGCTGCGTTCTCTTCGGCATCAGCGCTATGGGTTGATGCGGCCCCGCGGGCGGCGCCGACTTCATCGCCTTGGGTCGAATCGACATCTTCGGCATCCCACGGGGCGGCCCCGCGGGTGGCATCTCATAGGGCGGCATGCATATGGCCAATAAGTCAAATCTTACAATGTCAATATGTCAATCTTATCTGGTCAAGATTGTAGATCTGCCAGTATTCCCAGCGTGCTTTTCTCAAACTGGTAAACCTGTTACTTGTTAAGTGTGAATCGTCTTCGGTCAA